GTTCAAGGCCAGGTTGGATGAGGCTTTGGGCAACCTGGTGTAGTGGAGGGTGTCCCTGCCCATGGCAGGGGGGTTGGACCTGGATGATCTTTGAGGTCCCTTCCAACCCAACCCATTCCATTCTATGACTTACATGGCTTTAAAATTATTCTCTTGCAGCTGAGAAAAACGTTGGCCGATGCTGCTTCTTCCCTCTGAAAAACAAGATAATATGAATAAAAAACATTTAATAATTGCTTTGTCAAATGCTTTTTTTTATTTTTGGTACTGGAGTCGTGGAGGGAGATAAATCAGTGCCTGGGGTACGAGCACCTGCCGGAGGAAGATGGAACTTGCTATTTGCCTTCAGCATAAGGATGTGAAACTCTTTGTTTCTGACCTACAGCATGAGAAGGCAAATGGAATTTCCCTGCCTGGCTCAGGGGTTGTGGGGAGGAAGAGGCTAAATCCTGGAGGGCAGGCATTGCTTTGATGAGGCACGTTGCATAATTAAACAAACACCTTCCAAAACACCTGCCAGCCTTGCATTAGCTATTTAAAGGTGTGCTGGGCCAATCCTTAGTGCCAGACGAGGAATCTTCTCTCCAGAAAACACAGGACAGATTGATGACTACGTTGGTAGGTAAAGCTCTTCAAAAAATTGAGAGCTGCATCCTTCTGTCCGTGTTGGGACGTGGCCCAGAGGAAAACAAGTGCACCCAACACACGCCAAGGTCCCGTGCCAATACTTTTCCTTTGCCACTGCGCCTTTATTAACGGGCCAACCCAAATGCAATAATCTCGAGTCCTTTGCTTATGAGAGAGAATTCTGAGAGATGAATTTTAAAGTAAGGGGCCTGTTGCCAAAGCAAGATAACACTGTCTCACCCTCGTGCCGGTAGGGCTGAGATCAGCGTAAAAGGATCAAACAAATCCGAGGAAGATGCTGGCTTCTCCCTCTGAGCACCGTGGGGGTGCCCATAGAGACAACAACATGAGACAGAAAACACAAACATTGGTTCTGTTTTACACTGTTGGGCCCTTTAGTGCATTAGGAAGTTCTACAGATAAAAAAAAAAGGCTGAGTAATGCTAACAATGTGTGATGGGAAAGAAGCATCTGAACTGCACGCCGCTGGAGCTTTCCAGTTGCATCATTTTAGGTGCTCAACCATAGTGAGAAGCGTGGTCGCTGCAGGCTCTTCCAGTCGTGGGTGCAGAGAGAAAGCCCCCTCCAAAGGAGGATGCAGAGCAATAGGGTGACTGAGCTCCTCCGACTGGGCACCAGGAGGTCGCATCCCTCTTGGGCCTGCCCTGCTTCCCCGTGGGCTGTGGAGGGAGGCTGGAACAACCACAGGCTTTACTGGGGCAGGTTTTGGAGTCCCTAAAAGCAGTGGCGCAACCACATCCCTGCGGATTCAATCCCTCTCTAACAGGCTTCTCTCAGTAGTCGCTGGCTGTCCTGTGCTACAGATGTTCTCCAGCTGTTGCAAAGCAGCATGTCTAAGGCAGATCACAACAAATTTACACAGCTCCAGTTTGGCCCGTACTAAAATACTGACACAGAACTGGCAGTGGCTGAGCAGAGACACTAAATAGTCACATCACGCACGTGACGTTGTGGCTGTTAGTATTACCCAAGAGAATAGAGTGAAAAAGATGAGAGATGTTCTTACCTACGTCCCGATAACTTCTGGGCAGGGCTTGGACTGCAGGGAGGCTCACGGAGAAAACAACAAAAATCATTGTTCTCCAAGTCATCCTGCCAGATTTTGGCAGGGGGCTGGGGTGGGCTTGGTTCATCTGTGAAAGGCAGAAAGAATTAAGGGGGAAAAGTTACTTTTATACTCTCCCAAAGGATTTCTGGTTAATCAAAACCCTTTTACTGTCATATACAACATTAGCCCTTTTGGGATATTCCCACAATAATTAGACAGGCCATTGTTTGCTCAGTATGATGAACTGACTAGCTTGTTGCAAAGCACAGACCTTGGAGATTCTTTTTTTTTCCCCCTGAAATTTAGACAAATAGATGTTTTCGACTTATCAAACTGCAAACAAGAAGTTTAAACACTCCTTGGGCTTTTTATTGTGCATCCTGATCTCATCTACCTAGAAATTGTTCAAAGGTGATTGCTGCGCAGAAGGTGCCTTCGTAACACCTTGTTGACTGAAAAATCCCAAATTCAGCTGTTACCCTGGTATTTTTGCATCCCTCCTTGCTGTACAAGCTGTCTCCTGCTCCCAGCTCCCAAGGTGTCACAGTGAAAAGGCTAAGTACCTCCTAGAATATTTTTGCACCATTTACAATCACCGTCAAAATATCTCCTAGTCTTGAAAAAAAATCAACTCCAAAACTGTAGAACGAAGGGGAAAATTGCAGTTAATGTAGTTACTTCCCTGACTTTTTAGAAAGCAATCCTCAGCATGACAAAAACGAGAAATTTTTGGAGCTAGAATGGCTTTAGAGAGCCACGAGTACTTGGAACAAGAAGGTCGGTGGGCCAGGATGCGTGTATTCCGTCTGAAGGAAGAGGCAAAGACAGAGTGGTGGATTTCTTTAGAAAGAAAAGAGCAACACTTGTTCCATTCTGCGGGATGATGATGATGAGGGCGGCTCGTTGTCACACGAGGCAGTGTCAGAAGGAAAAAGGATTCTGGGTGGGAAGATGGGAGCACGGTCACCGGAGCGGGAGATGGGAAATCTAAGGTGAAACCACGGCTGGTGAGGAAGATATAGAATCATAGAATCATAGAATGGTTAGGGCTGGAAGGGACCTTCAAAGGTCATCTAGTCCAACCCCCCTGCAAGGAACAGGGATATCTCCAACTAGATCAGGTTGCTCAGGGCCTCGTCCAACCTGGCCTTGAACGTCTCCAGGGATGGAGCAGCCACCACCTCTCTGGGCAAGTAAGCTCTGCCTCCCTGTTCACTAAAAAGCCCTGCAGAAAATAAAATAAAGCTGGGGGGATGTATGACTTGAGGTAGAGCTGCAGGAACGGCTGGGACACTGAGCTCAGAGGCTTTGGGAAGCAGGTTCTGGCTCCAAAGGACGCGTTTTGAAGATGATGTACGTGTCCTGTGTTGTTCTAAGCATTTCTGGAAGCTGCACTTGGCTGCTGCATTTAAAACCCTGGAAATTCTGTTTCTCCGCTGCCCTTTTCCATGCTCGGCAGGATGGTTAACTACTTTTCACTTTTTTTTTTGAAAATACTCGCTGCTTTTCAGATGGCAACTGCCTATTTACAGGGAACACTCCTTCTTGTGCAGCAGGGAAATGGGTGCATTGTATTTAACTGGGAAAAAAGCACGTGGCAAGCACGAGATGTGAGATCCAATACAGAGCTTAGGGCCTTATTGTCCTTCCACGTACAGAAACCACGCAGACCTGTTCAGTTTTGCACCTGTCGAGGACCCAGCTGTTGCCAGAACTCCTTAGAAAGTGTCTTGCAAGGTCGGGATAGAGCCAGAAGCAGCTGATGGCCTTCAGGGTGGGGAGGTGTGAATTCCCACCACCTGGCATGGTTGGAGGGGGTGGGATGCTCAGAGCACTCTTCAAATGTCCGGGCAGGTTTGTGTTCTGAAGTTTTTTTGCTGTGTGTCACAGAGCAGAGGGTTGTGCCAGTTTTTAGCAGGTTTTTCCCTTTGAGATGACCCTCACCGATTTTAGGGGCAGGTCTCTGTGCTTTAGGCTGGTGCCTGGTCCTGAGAGGCTTCAGTTGTAGGTGATTGTTCTCAAACTGGGCTGACCAAGTGTGAGTGTGTCTGCTCAGAGCCTAGCTATTTCGCTTCTGCTCTCACCAAGGAGAGCAGAATTTAAGAATCTTCCTTTTGCTTGCATTGGTTTGTTTATGGTTGCATCCATACTTTAGTTCTTTTTCTTGAACATTGGCATTTTCTGGTCATTTCGGTAACGTATTTATAGGATTCAGTTGCATCTTTTTCTTTATGCTTGGAAAGTATCGTTCTGGTCAAATCCTGAGCATTCACCTTAAAAAGATTGGTCTTCATAGGAAGTTCAAGCATCTGGAAGAACTCAGCTTTTCCCCAGGATGTGATAAGGTTTGTCTTTAAAAAGCTGAAGCTGCTCTGATGTGATATTTGAAGTTATTTTCCCTGTAAGTAACCAGAAGTCCTGAGATGTGCTGTGTAAGAGGCACGTTGGGACTTGATATGCTGTTTTATGAAGAAAACATTGCTTGTGTTAGTGCTTTTTATGGAAGTATCATGAGGGGAAGCTGATTAGTGTTTTTTTATGGAAGTATTATGACCTTAGTAGGTCCTTAAGTGACAGAATTTTTTCTTCATGTCGGGGAGCCCGTTGCCAGTAGCTCACCTCTGCACCCTCCAGTGTGTGTTGACCAGCGGTCCCCTGGTACACAGGGCATCAGCACTTCTCCTGCTCGTGTCTCCCCCAGCCTCACAGCCCATGGGGGTGGCAAAAACAAGTCCCTGGCACTTCCCCGTGGCCCAGAGGAGCG